ACATCTCATGATACAAGAACTCAAGGAAAGGGAGAACAAAAAATTCAACATAAGGATGGACTTCTCAAACTTCCTCGAGTTGGTAAGGTAAAAGAAAAGAAGGCACACCTTGTTTTTATTTGTCATCATTGTGGTATGCATGGTCATATTCGCCCTTATTGTTATAAGTTGCATGGGAGAGTGTATTTGCCTAGACCTAAAAATAGGAAGTTGGAAACCAAGTCGAGATGGGTTCGCATTGCAAGCCAAGGGAATCACAACGTCAAGACATCACCCAAGAACCGCAATGCTCACAACTTTGTTTATACTAAAGCAGTTTGGGTGAGAAAACTTGACTTGTGTTAATTTGTTTATTTGTTTTAGTTTTTAGGTTTCTGTTTATTTGTTTTAGTTTTTGGGTTTCTGTGTGTTTTTTTTTAATGAGGAAAAAATGAGTGCATGTTCGTTTTTTGTCTTGCTTTGGTTAAGAAAAAAAATTTAAAAAAAATCCCAAAAAGATTTTCTTAGTATGGTTTTGCAAGCTTGAAATTTTTGAGTGATCCTTGGTGCATATTGGAATTGATAAGAATATCCATTACCTGTTAATATGTGTGTGCTTTCTGTGGTCATTACTCTTTTTGGAGTGTGTTTTCTTTGATTAGTATGTCTCATTCTGTACACACTCTTGGATTAGCAAATTTTGGAGTCTTCTACCTTAGTGATTATTTTTTCTCTATGGACTTCTGTCATTGATCTTTGCGTTTCTAGAGGAATTGATCTATACTAGCATATCATGGGTGATGTTGAGTCTCTTAACCATCTTCCATCTTTTTGCATCTCCATGGCTCTCCCCTCAGTTCTTTGCAGTCCAGCCATGAGGAAAAGGCTACCTCAGAGTCACCAACCAGGCCATCATTATTATATCCCTGCTTCTCTGGTTCGGTTTCCATACTCTTGAGCGTGTCAGCCGCCAATGAGTGTGCAAAAGAAAAAGAAAAAGAAAAAGAAAAAGAAAAAGAAAAAGGAAAAAATGTGCACAAGAAAGAAAAGAAAAAAAAATGTGCAAAAGAAAGAAAAGAAAAAGTGTGTGAAAAAAAAAAAGATTAATTGATTGAGGGGGAGTCTTCGATTTTACTCACCAAATACCCCTTGATTCCTAGTGGTTTGACTT